ACTCTGTCTCCTCTGCACAGACCACATGGCCTGCCCCAACCTCAGAGCCCAGTTTATTTTGCCCCACTCTCATCCCCACTCTGTCCCCAACCTATTTTATCAGCACCCCATCCCTGTGCCTAACATAACTGAACACAGGATGGACACCCACCTTTCCAGGGTTTCTTTCACATCCTAAGGGTATAAAAGAAAGAAGGTTAGCATGTTTGCACCTTGATCACTAGCAAAGACTGAATTCATGCTGGATATAGTCCTTTGCAAATTTCACAGAGTCCGCTTCTCTTGGCTCTAGAATACTTTGAGTGGGAGAGCACATGGTAGAAAAATAATCTCCTGCTTCTTCTAAAGGTGAGTTCCTGTGGATAGGAGATGTTTCTCAAATGACAGGAGACTACTTGGTCCCTTTCTTTTTCTCATACCTTCACTTTGCCCAGAGAACCTGTGGCTCACAAAGGAGCCAAACTATGGGCTTTAATTATCCAATGTCTCGGGGAGTCAGAGATAACCATAGGAAAGTGGCCAGTGAGAGCTGAGAATAAACCTGTGTACAACTGGAGTGGGCTGTTGGAAAGGCACAGAATTAAATAGCATTCTGTGGTGGCTCCAGGAGAGAGATCAGAAGCTGGAGTTGGCTCACACAGCTTATGTTTGAGAAGGCCTGGAAAATGCAGTAGAAGCCTAGGATGGCAGCAGAGCAGAGATGGTGAGAGATGTGGGCTCTGCACACAGATACCTGGGTTCAACCACCTACTAGTTATTTGACGGGCAAATTACCTAACTGCCCTAGGTCTGAGTTATTAAATGAGTGCTTCTATAAACCCATTTTGTAGAGAGCAATCACCTATAGTACATATCATCATAGCACTTAACTGCATCAAGTCTTTGAGAAAGGTGATATTGAATAGGCCCAGCACATGGTCAGTGCTCACTACACTTAAAATGTTTGACGAAGCTGAGGTTGCAGAGAGGCAGGCATGGACGCCATTGGCATCATCATCAGGCTTGGTTTGAATAGACATCCCTCTGTTTTCTTTCTCTGCCTCAGCAAGACTTTATGTATACTATATAGAATGTTAGTTCTTTAGGAAAACTATCTGTAGACCAGAACTTAGTTTTTTAGGGAAATAAATAAAAATGTATTTTGTATGACTTGAAATGTTATGCTACTACATACTTTCCCGCAAATTTCCCCAATATTCTTACCTCAAAAGATTCTGTAATCGAATTCTGACATGTAGACTCTATGTGTCCAATCATTTTGCTTAGGCTTCTTATTTGCTTGGTTAGCTGGATCTCACTGTCCCTCAGTTTCTTCAGGTTCTCTCTTTCCTCCTTTTCCAGTAGCTGGAGCTGTAGCTGTTCCTCCTCTTTCAGGAACTGGTGCATTTTTATGTATTCTGACACAACGACCTGTTTACAAGTCTTTGTCTCTTCCTGCCATCACAAATACACACACACGCGCACACACACACACACACACACACACACACACACACACACAGACACACACATACGGATAATTTAATAAAGTTAGTAACAGAAATACCAATGTAGAATTTAATCCTTACAATATCCTAGAATTCCACCAATTCTTGAAACCTGACACATAACGTATACATTATAGTGACTAGCTGAGTTGATAATTTGATATTTTAAGTGTGTTTAGATAGATACTGTAGTAATGAAAACCAAAATTTCTATCCCCAGGAGGCTATTATTCCAATTGGAACAAACAAAAATAAACAAAAAATGTATGATAGGTGGTGATCACTACCATTACAAAATATAACGCAAAATAAAATAAGGACAAAAATTATTTTCAAAGATGTTTGTTCATTTATTCCACAAACATTTTTTTCAATGAATGTAGACATTGGATCACACACTAGAAATACAAATGTACCTCACAAATACTCCCTCCCATTTAAGAACTCAAAGTTTACTGGAAAAATCAGATATGCACACGTATCTTTTTAAAATATCAAAACATTTAGTTCTTTGCTTTGCTAGCCAGCTCAAATTCAAATCTGTGACTAACTTTGAGCATTTGCTCAGGTGTAATAATCCAAACTACTATTTTGCCTTTATTTCTCTTTCTCTCCCTCTCTTTTTTTTTATTTGCACTATTTTTCCCTCAATGCATTTGAGATATTCCTTTTTTAAATTGATTTTCATCCTATGTTATATGTCTATAATTATAACTTGTATTTTAAATATTATAATCAGAGTCAAAATAGAGGTGCCCCAAGAGGGAAAAAAAAAAAAAGAAAAAAAAAGCCAGCCTGAAGATGGTGAAATTGAGCTGCGTCTTGAGATTTCAAAGTGGACAAGCAGAGGTGGGCATCCCAAAGCAAGGATACCGCATACTGTAAGATTGAGACTAAAAAAAAAATTGTCTTTATTCCCTGGCATTTCACTAAGATCCTTTTGCTACCCCTCCCTTCATAAAATCATATACAAGAACAAAATGCAAAAGTACGACAGTTACTGACCTTACACAACATGACTCTCTCCTTCTCGTGGGTTAATATAACCTGAGTTTCCCTTTTCTTTTTACGCAAAAGATTTAGGATTTCCTGGAGTTTCTCCTGTAACAGAAAAACACTCTGTGGCAAATGAGCAGTGCACAAGGTTATAAAAGGGCCTTGAGGACCAATAACAACAGGATGACTGGGATTCTACAAAGGGTAAAGCAGAATCCATGCCAAGTTTGTGGTCTGGTGCCTGGAGGTTGGCACCCATGATTGTCACCTATAGGCAATGTTGTGGGAGTTAAGTGATGGAATCTGATTTGTGTTCTGAGATTTATGTTGAGCAGCCAATCTTACTTTGTGATGTTCCTCAGCCTCACTCGAGAGATACACTCTGTTTAATCCGTGACACTGGGTCGAGAAAGCGTTTGCACCCTGCTCATCATCAGGGGGCACATTAGTGGCTGCCAGCATTCTACCATAGGAGCTGTGTTTGCCCTCACTCTGCAGCACCTGGGACCTGAGTTGCTTGCCGATGCCAGCCAGCCTCCCCAAACGCTCATTGGGCTGGAAATGAGGGGCCTCCAAGGTCCTCCAGCACTCAGGACAAGATAAAGGAGTGTTATGTTTCTTCCAGCTCTTCAGGAGACACACCAGACAAAAGCTGTGCCCACACTCAGTGGTCACTGGGCTGGTGAAATAGTTCAAGCAGATGAAACAGGTCAGTTCTTCCCTGAGAT